GAAAGCTTAACACTTGTCCCCACAGGAGAACATAAGCCATCCTTTATTATAAGGAACAGACTTAAAGTGTTGTAAATCCTTTATCTTTTTCAAAGGGGTGTTATGAGAGAATATAAAGACATATATGTTATTATCTGGCAACATTAAATGGAAAACAAAAATTCTTGTCATTCAGTCACATCTTGTTCCCTGCATTATGTGATGTGGCTATTAGTATCTTCATTTTAGGTCTGCAAACTAAGGATCAGAAATTTTTTTTCCCCTCAGATCACATACAACGAGTAAACTGTCAAGTGGGATGTGATCCTGGCCCTTCTGATTCTAACTCCAGAATCAATCCATGAACCTGTCTCACCATCACTGCTGAACTTTTTAATTCCTTAACCCAGATATTACTTACCGCTGTTGTTGTTGTTGTTGTTATGTGCCATGGAGTAGGACCTGACTCATAGCAACCCCTCCTTGGGTTTCTGAGGTGGTATCACTACCAAAGTAATTGCCCAACCTTCCTTCCCAGGAGTGGCTGATGGGTTTGAACCGCCAGCCTTCTGGTTAGCAGTCAAGTGCCTTAGGCACTATGCTACCACAGCTCCTTTACACTAGTTAAATAACACTTAGCACATACGTATTTTCTGAACTCTTCCCTCTCACATCTTTTCTACATTAACTTATTCAGAAACATCATTAGAGCATCACAGGCCTCCATGTGAGGGTCCTAATTGCTCAACAGCTCCAAGCCTAAGTTTTCAAACATGGACTTGGATATAAGGCATTTGACTGCTAACCAGAAGGCTGGCAGTTCAAACCCACCAACCACTCCTCAGAAGGAAGACTGGGCAATCTACTTCTGTAGAGATTCCACCTCACAAACCCAAGGAGGGGTTGCTATGAGTCAGAACCAACTTCAAGGCAGTGAGTTTGGTTCTTTTTTTTCCTTATACTTGACAGGTCTAAACCACACTAAAAGCTCCGTCTCAACTGCCCCATTTCTTCTAATTATAGTCAAACGTCTTTGACTTCTCTACCTCCTCCTCTGAACTAAGCCTTGGATTCTTCTCCCAGTGTCTTTTTAAATCCCATTTTTCTTTTTTGTTTCCTACAAACTTGATGACGCTCTCACCTCAATCATCAACCTTCCAACTAGAGTCCCTGCCTTGAGTCTCTCCCCCCACTTCATTCATCAGTGCCTTACACTTATTTTAGAAATACTTTAATGAATTTATTATTTGAAAATTTCCAATGGCTTTCTCCATTTCTGTTCGTATCACTTCCTCTGTTAGAGATGCCCTGTCTCTTCTCAGCAAGACCACTTCCCACTCACTCTCCCTGCAAACCTCTTCTCTGAACTCTTGGCAACTCACGCCTGTACAAAGAGACTACTTCCTCACCCTCAACAAGCATCTATCTTGTGGGTAATTTTCTTCTGGAACAGAAGACTATTCTGCTTTGTGACAAGTCTGAATTGTCTCTATTTTCTTTTTCCTTAACTTTAAAATTATCATTGGTCCACGTTGTTGTTGTTGTTAATGTGCCGTCGAGTCAAACCCGACTCATAGCGACCCCTCCTTGGGTTTCCGAGGCAGTATCACTATGGAAGTAGATTGCCCAACCTTCCTTCTGAGG